ATTAGCGGAACGCTGCACCTCCGTAGAGCCCACTTTGCCGTACTCCTCGTCTATCTGTCGTCTATTCCTCGCATTATATAGCTGGCCCATCGGTGGTTAGATCTGTAACATGGTATAGCTTGCGATCTGAACTAGGCAGTCACGCTAGACGTCGCGAATGCCGGGTAAATTTCAGACTACATCATCCAAGCGATTTGTGAATTGTTCGCACCCCATTTCTCCTCTACATTACAGAGCTGGGTTGATTGTTGAATCGAAAACGTGAGTACGGATTTTCAGCCTCGCTAGTTGGTTACTGGCTTCTTTGAGAGGCCCGAATGCGATCGATGCTGCATTCCTTCTTCTGCCTAATTCCTCCTTTATGTCCTTCCTCATGTTCACCGAACATCCAAGGTCGGCTGTAAGGTGGTCACTGTAATCGGAGAATCTTCGAGCTCGATATTTACATCTCCTTACACAGATGAGTTTTCTGAGAAATCACCTGTGATCGCTAAGAAAGACGCAGGCTCAATGGCTTCGATGCATCAGGCACTTCTCAGTGATCACGATGGTCTACAGAGCTTTAGTTTTGTCCCTTAGTGGTTCACGGTGACACCAAATGCTCTCACATTAAGTACCCTCTTTTATATTGGCGTATTTGATTTACCAAAAACGATTAAAAAAACATCCAGTGGCGAATTTCATTGGACCACGAGATAGATAATCGATGTCTTGCTTTATTAACAGACTTGAACGAGATTGTTGCACATCTCTATTATGGCTAAACTTTTAGCGGCTTCGTCTCTTGCAGATCCACGAGAGGTCGAGGTGTCAGCTTCTCCGCGCAATGTGAATTTTCGCCATTGTCGCCACATCGTGTCAAATGAAGTCGAGTGAAACACCGTAGGAATCCGAAAATTGGCTAGCGTAAAAACTTCCGACATTCTCGTGTAACCTTATGAACAAACCCGAACATACGTATGAGCACGAGAGTACTCGAAAGCAGCTAAGTATAAGACAATGAGACGGGAAAACTTTTTCACAGCACACAAGAGTAACACCTTAAATCAAGTTTTGTTCTCTTATCCCATTTATAGTGGGTCAGTGACTGATGTACTAAACACAAAAGATACCACTAGCTATATATAATAGCTATATAATGGCCAGCTATATAATGCGAGGAATAGACGACAGATAGACGAGGAGTACGGCAAAGTGGGCTCTACGGAGGTGCAGCGTTCCGCTAATACAACTACCTACACTACGGGCAAACCAGTTTGTAATTGATATCAAGCAGTTGTTTTCTCAGGTGCCAACGTTTTATAGATTACAAGTACGGTACTAGCACACGTCACAGTAATTCAAGCAAACGATCACCGTAGATGATGTTTGTGAGGAAGAACGACCGGTAGAATCTGTGCTCGGGTCCGCAATACTCGTTATGATAGGTGTTTCATGTGCCAGGTATGTATGAGAAATTTTAGTGCTCAATTTTTATAAATGTGTACAATATGCCTTTATTTTTACGAACTGTATGCAGAATAAAGTCCATTCTAGTAAAAATTCTCCCATTTCTTCAATTTTGTTCGTAGTGAATGCATTGTCCGATCTATTGAGCCTTTGCTATTTTCCCTGTTCTTTGTCCATCCAAAGTTAACTTCATGGATGAACGGCTAAACGGGTTGGCGCCTCCACTATGCAGTGCTGCAAATACTATATCCAGGTTGAAGAACGATGTCTCCTCTTCTCTGTCTCTGTTCAGTAGCTTGTCAGCCCCAAATTTTCACAAGCTATCGTAGCGGCCATTGTGCGCTGGATAAAAGTTCATCTGCTGAAACAAGGATTCTTCAAAGGAGAATACCTTCCTTCCATAACGAATTCCTAATCAAGTACTCAAAATTAAAAACTTTATTGGCTATTTGAAAATATCCATCTTTTGAGTGCACGTCGTAATACAAACAAATGCACGATTAAAAGGCATGAAAATTGCGTAAGCGCTAATAGATACCATTGTACGTAATGTGAAATCAGTTATACACTCTTTTATTGAAATGCTTCAGAATAAATTGTTAAGAAATGGAAACCACTGAACAACGTTGGTCAGATGAAGGACAACAATGGTGGAAACTATGGCGAGCACGATCGCAACGAATATCAGAACACTGCAGCACACCAGAAGATTCTGAAATTTGCCTTGGATGAGATTATCATCATTGGAAAGGGTGAAAATCGATGGCACAGATGCTAGAAGCTAGATTAAGTGTGAAGACATTAGTGTTGACCGTCTAAATGGTATTTTTAGCATAATCTGAATCACAAACAATTTTCGTCAATCGTCTCATGGCACCAATGCTATTTGCTCATCCTGGAGTCACCATGCATTTAACCGAATGCGTATGGTCCGCTCTCCTTCAAAGAGTCAAGTAACCGCATAGCAACAGTATTTGTGTTACTTCTGCACAAAACACCTGCACAAAATAGGAGGGATGATGAGTGTGGCATAGCTGTATTTATGCTTGTGCAGTAGAAGCACTTTATCAATTTACTCATTAGTAGTACTTAGTCCAGCGAAGACATCATTATACTCTCTTCATAAACAACAGTCTTCATAACGGGAAGAATAAACTCGCCCAAAAATAAATAAATCGTTAAATATAATTTGTCGGGTTGGAAATCTCCAGTATAAGAAATACTCTCGGCGTAACACATGTACGGATGTAGATCTCATGAACACAAAAGCTATATTAATAAGGATAAAGGATAAACCTCTCGGCGTTCATCAATTCGTTATGGATGCACCATGCATTTGACTTCATTAAGCATCGTTAGAGGTGATTGAGTGCACATTTAGCTTTTACAATGAAACGCGGTGGCTTACCGATATATCGAGTCAGTGATTATATCCTCCTGAACAAGTTTGGTACCAATTTGGCGACTCCGGAGTGATGGAAAGTTGTGTACCAGAGGCGCGAGGATCGATCCCATGCGTATTTTAGGGCACCTCCAACCACTGCGCCACACGCGCCCTCCACACAAAGGGTATGCATATTGAGGAAATTATATGTGGCCGGAATTAACAGCCAACAATTAGAATTCGCGAGCATAAACAATGCTCGTTCTGCCAACTACGTGTTCGCAGACACACACATGCACATACATGCAACCACAGCCTCTAGTAACCCCTACACCTCTGGGTTCCTTTATGTTCCATTAAGAGCACGACTATTATCATTGTGTTTATCGCATGTATATCACACGCACAAACACCGTCATTTGCACTAATAACAATCAATTCACTCAGTTATGTGCTAATATTATTCCACACCGGTGGTACTTCTGCACATCTGACGATACAACTCCTAACAAGATCTTGCATAAAATAAGTAAACAAGTAAACAAACTCTCATAAAGGTGTCACATCTTCTCTGCCGCTTTAGCAAATGAAGATGGTAAATGTGATGCGGCTGCCAATGGCAACAAGGATATCACCTTAAACATAATTAATAGCAATAATAGTAAACAATTACTTGTGATACACGTGGTGCAGCTTGTGTAGATGAAGGTGCGGCGTCTGACTCATCTTCTTGCTCACTTTTCCTCTTTCTTCCTTGTTTTTTTGCTTTCTTCCTTCTGTAATATTTTTAAAGTAATCATTGCAGGAAGTCCACAATATGCACACGTATATATGTATACATCTATATATGATATATATATATATATATATGTCTAAAATTGCAATCATAGGACTTTTGGCGCCGATAAATCACTGGGAGATTTCATGCACTCTACTTATTTGTAGCTTCATAGGGTTGAATGGATTCATATTTGCCACTATAATGACTTGCGATGAGTGAGACGGTGTTTTCATCCTCACATCCAAGACTGATGGCTCGCTGAGCTCGTGGTCTGGGATCGCACCATCGACCGATCTGTGTGTATTGCGTACCATCTCTCACTACTGCATCGTATACACAAAAATACATTTTGAACATTTTACACATTTTTCGCTGCCGTTTCTTTTTTATGTTTTCCAAATCCGAGCATCATCCACGAAGGTTTTCCAACTTTTGGTTTATGGGTTAGACGTGGTAAGAGGTTCCCAGATCTTTATCGCGTAGAGTGGCCATCATTAATGGATTAGAGGGGCAAGATGACCAAAGATTAATCCGATGCCTTTTTACCGAACCCGGAACGGAGGCTTAGTTGACTGCAGTGGAGCAGATCCATGACCTTCTGAATTCTGAATTCAGAATTGAACGGCATCCTACCGCTGCTTTACCTGTGTTTACGTTTACGCATTTACATGTATATATATATATATATATATATGTTTGCGCATTTACATATGTATATATATATATATGCACGTATGTATGTATATTAATGTGTATACATACATATATGTATGTACAAATAGCTTCAAGACTTCTCTAGTTATTCATTGAAACTCTCGTAACAAGTGAATCCAACCTCGTTTTACTTGGCTTTTCTTCAGATATCTTTTGAGCTTGATTGCTGGATGAGCTCTTAGTGACACCTGGCGGTTGAATTTCAGGCTGTTGTGACGGTTGCGGTGGTGGCGGCGATGGTAGTGGAGGACCAGGTGGCGGAGGTGGTGGAGCTGCACCTGGTGGCCATATTCCTGGAGGTGGTGCCTCACCAGGCGGTCCTAGTTGCTCGTATTCGTCACCCATTTACTAGTTTATTGCTGACCTATAATATAATTACAAATAAGAAAAATAGTTGTTCCTATTCGTACTACTGTTGACACTCACCAATTTTTACCAACTATCCCGTGACTAGCGCTGCTAAAAATGAGTCGTACCGCCACGTATTGGTTTGATGATAATTATCTGGTTCACTGATAATGCACCACAGAAATCATTCCGAGCTGATGTCTTTGTTTCGTTGTATATATCTGAAGTACACACAAATTATGAGAATTAATTCACAACATGCATTGTTACTGCCACATTGATTTTCATTGGCTTAGGAATTAGCTAGGGCGCTTGTAGCATAGTGGTTGGAGGAGCCACTGCGACGCACATGTGGAATCGGTCCCCGCGCACATGGTCCACCAAGCCCTCCATCCCTCCGAGGCCGGCGAATTGATACCAGACTTGTATGGGAGGATAGCAGCACTGGCTCGACACATTGATAAACCACTGCGAGTCACTGTAAAGGCTAGATATGTATTTAATCACCTTCAACGATGCTTAATGAAGTCGAATGCATGGCGCCATCCCTCAGAGTTTTGATCAATGCCGAGAGCCTTAAGAGAGCTTTAGAGCTTCGGGAGTTACCCAACAGTTGCTGCACAGCACTTAACGGATTCAACGCAGCTACAAGTCAGTATGATCTCTTTAAGCCTCGGAAGAAGAAATAACAACCAATTCAGTAGTCCTCATCAAATATGTAATGTAATAAACCGTCATCATCGGACAGTACATTCACTAGGTCGGTGCTTTATTCTAGATCAAACACGAGTTGTCAAATTATTTTATTATTTTATGACTACCATTTTACACCTACTGTACAGACCGCGCAGTTTCATTTCACTGATTTCCTTATATCCGTCATCCACGAAAGTTCTCTAACTTTTTGCGTGTGTGGCCTACTGTCGCTTAGCATTTTCCTTTCACCATGAACGTCGTTTAATGCTGACCGAGTTGATTCTCCTTGGAGCCTTGAGAGATCCAGTTTAGAGCGTTCCCACTTGGACTGCTGAAAGTAGACTTTTCCTAGACAAATTTGGTGCCATTGTCTCCACCTCGGAGGATTAAGAGGCTTGGTGAGCCTGCGCGGGGTGCAAAAAGCATAGTGACCGTGACGGGTGACATCACTACCACAGCGTTATCTACTTGCTTAGGTTGTCAGTGACACGTTTTATTCAATAATCGCTGAAGTCTTAGCGTTTTCGCCATCATCGGAACTTGGAAAGGTTAAAATGACAAGCAGTCTGTGCAGGCAAGCACTTTCATAACTTTGCATATCCCGGTCCATATCGTGAACATCCAAATATTTTTAGATCACAATAATGCTGAGATAATTTTAACTTATTATTTACTACATACTATTTTAGTAGCAAGGTATATTGCGAAATATAACTTCAATAATGCTGAAATATTTGCAAAACTCCGGATCGCAGGTGTCTGCGGTGGGTAACGAACGCGTTATTGTCCTTTCCGGATAGTAACGCGTTCACCACCACACCATGCGGGTCCTTTGTTTCGCCTATCTCTCAGGTAGTTCTATCGATCGACGCCTTCAGCAATCACCCGTTAACGGGATTGATCTCGGAAGCCCACATCGGCAACGAGCCCTGTTGAGCTGGAGCTGTAGTCGAAATCACAATGTTAACTTTTTATTTACTGTTACAATTTTTCACGGTAGGGTATTATATGTGATACAACCGGAGTGATACCGAGATATTTGAAAAACTCCGGGCCGCAGGTGTCTACGGTGACCAACGAACGCGCTATTACCCTTTCCGGGCCTAACGCGTTCACCACCACACTATGCCGGTCGTTCGTTTCGCCTGCGGAGTTTCGCAAGCACCTTGGGTTCGGAGTTTTGCAAATATCTCAGCATTGTTGTGGTTGAGTCACACTTAACAACCTGCGGTAGGAAAATGTAATAGAGAGTTAATAAAAACATAGCATTGGAAAATACTTTACTTCACTGTCTTGGTGGTAATTTGAAGCCGGCACGAGACGAATTCTGAACAGAAGAAAGACAGTGGGGCAACACGAAAACATACGGTTTTGTCTAAGTACATATGGTCGTAATGATTTTCGGTAACACCAACCTTTTAAAAACACACGCGGTCAAATGTCTTTGGAATTTCCCAAGACTGATAATGACGCTATCGAGTACACCTAATGGTCACTGAATGCCACTGATGAATGTCACTGGTCACTGAATGCCACTGATGAATGTCACTGGTCACTGAATGCCAATGCCACGGTCTGGAGTTTCTCAGAACTGAAATAGCGATGGTGTATGCTCGTATTCCTCGAAACGTTGTCAGTGAATTTTACGCCGCAGATATTAATGGAGAAAAATATGAATTGTGTTGCGAATGAGTTCATAGATGACATTCTATTACGCGCTACTTTTTCCAGTTCATGACAATTACATAGTAAAGATAGTTCGTTCCCTCAAATAATTACGTGCTCGAAACTGCCTACTTTGCCGCAATTTACATGCTGCTGTGGAGTTCTAACCCACATTCTCTCTCCTGTATGCTAGACGGAATCCATTTCGAAGTCAAAATGATGGGTCAAGTTGCGCACTGTGGGTGCTCAATACAACGACCCTATCTTCCTTTGGGTCTGGGTAGTGAGTGTCACGCTAATTTATGATTAGCTTGCGGACACACTACTTAGTCAACGCATTATTTTAGCACTTATGCGTGTTACTTTGCACACCACCGTACTCCGGACCACACCAGCACCGGACTACTCACGATCATCTTATATACCGAGTTGTAATATGAGGCGTATAGGGAGGAAGTTTATATATGCTAACTAACATGCGTTATTTATATTTTAGGCGACGAAGTACCGTATCGCTCATCCAAGTGCATTGGAGAGATTTTATTTCTCATCGAAAAAGGTCTGTACAAGCGACTCTTTTTTTTTTTCAACAGATTGACATCCCTCTTCCAATAATTTACAACTTCTTCGATTCCTGTTTATAAAATAATTATTAAATAGGATTCCCTACTAATCCATGTATAATTTCGATAACTTCTTTCTTCTTAGAAAACATAAATATTCTGATGGCGAAGATCCTTCATCGTGGACACTCTGCGCTCCACGTGATCTATGGAATATTTACTTTCGGATTATATTTTCACTAATCTGTGAGGTAATTCGCTATTTAGATCGGCGTGTGAAAATGCTTTTTTGAAATACCAAGGAAGTTAAACTTCTTTTAGAAAGTGCGGTGCATGAACTATACGCACTGGTTACATTCCGCCCCATGCATACCAAGCCCGTCATCCCTGCAGGGTCGCCGAACTGCTACCAGACGTCCGGGAGAAACTGTCTCCGATCTGTAAAAGTCGTTCTCTACCTTTTGCAAAGGTCTGGAAATATTCTAATAGAGTTGTCGTAAGAATTAAAGGAAAAAAAGCTCTACCACCACCCAAGGCACATATGAGGAAGAGGAAATCTTCAAGTGGCAACGTTACCCACACTTAAATCATGTCCTTTGTGGACGACGGATGTGACGCTATGAACCCAATGAAAGAAGTACTAGATGTAAACAATAAGTTGTGATAGGTTATACAAATGGAATATAAATAAGAGCAAGGATAAGGGCAAACCAGTGCCAAACCAATTAAGAATCACTGCGCTCCTGGCAACAACGTACTCACTACCTGGCAGAGAGTGGAAACTTGGGAGGACTCCAGCACGTCTACCAAAACTCCAGAAAAAATAATCTTGCACATCCAGATAATTCCCATTCAAATGAAGCTTGAGCTCGCATTCCTACAACTGACGACTAGTGAAGCCGTATCAGGCCATTCAAATATCCAAGCAAGGACGTTATTTTGTATACTCCGTTGTTAAATCCATTATTATCGTAGAGTTGATACCAGTCCACAGCTGATTTTCGACTTTTTAAAATATCTGACACCGTTATTGTTCTTGATCAAAGAATAACAATAAAACACTTCGTCGTCTGTTGTCTTCCCTAAAAAGAAGCTGCACTTTGTTTTTGAGATACCAAATCTTATAGCAACATGAAAAACAGTAAAATCAAGTCGATTTGGTCAAACATCCGAACATTTCCGATGTTCTTGAATGGTACCGAATCGTTTTTCTTCCGCTGCTTTAGAATAATCCATTCTTTAGATTGAGCTCCAACCCAGGTATATCTTCACGAATGCATTCGAGGATATTTGTTCGCTCAGGGGTAAATTGCGCGTTGGAGATGAATCTGTTCGTCATTAACAACGCTTACCTGCGCCTAACCACACACTGTTTTCCCATAAAAGTTGTCGCTATCCACCCGTGAAGCAAATTGGTTTTTTGAGATGGCATCGCCGAGTCGAATCCTTCCTTATCTCCACGTCCACATTGCAGCGGAATTTACATGATTCTGGTTATAGAACTGCTAAATAGCTATTGAATACTTAAGTATCACGCCAGGACCTAGGACCACTAGCTTGAACAAGGCTTCTTGTAATGCCTTCAATTTTCAGGTCGGATCATATGGAGATAAATTCGAATGGATGCGAAGATATCCATTTCGAGTGAACAAAATCTCATCACTGATGTCCAAGGTAAACCGAAAACACTGAAACCAAATGAGGAATCAGTCATACGACTCTCTTGTAATCCCACAAACAATATATTTATGTCGCATACAAGTTATTCTTCACTCATGCCTTTGTACAAACGCGCTCAGACATCATAATTAAGCGCATCGTATAAGGCATTCTAAAATTCCTTCTCAGCTCAAATGGGCACTGTGACGAAAATCGCAGTTCCGAACATTCTGGCAATACTTACGATGAGTACGTGGCAAATCACTAAGTGGATTTGTAATGATACCTGTTTCAAATACATATCGCCCTAATAGTCATAGCTTTCGTTATATGGAATTCCGTGCCAGGTAGCTTCAGTAAGGATACATTTAACCCCCTACCTCCACTGAAGATAAATGAACTCCTTCGATGAAC